CTTCAAAAAAATGAAATTGTCCAGAGCCGTTTTAAATTACATTTAATACACTCGTGTAAACAAAATAAATGTGTGTCTAAAATCTAAATGTAATGATCTTCTGCAGCAGTCTGTTTTGTGCTGAATCTGGAGACATCTTTGACTGAAGATGTGTGATGAAGTCTTTGGAAGAGGATGCTCCCTGATATTCATAATGTTCTTCTTTTTCTCTGTAAAAGCATCTCCAGAGGTCTGACAGGAGTTCCAAGAATAGCGCCGGCCTCCTTTATGAGCTTGTTGAGCTTCTTTAAGTCATTTGCTCTGCTACCGGCACCCCAGCAGATGATAACAGAAAAGCTTACTTCACACCACAACAGACTGATAGAAGAAATGTATGGTGTCAGTTTTCTGCCAAGAGTCCACACACGCAATAAATACTCCTACAAGCAGCTTTACTTCACACAGACGCTCATTAACTCTTCCTCACGCACATGTTTAACATGTTTCATGCACATATAGAGTACCACGGGGCCCCAATATATCACACACACGAGTACTTGTTCCTTCTCTGCATGCGTGTGGTTTGATTTCCACACGTGTGCAGCCTCCTTGTCTTTGTGTGTGGATCTGTTTGTGTGCTCACATCAACTTTTGTCACTTTGAAGGCGTTACCCACTGGATAAAGCAACCTGCCTGTGATTGGCTACGTCTCAGGAAATTCCTCCTGATCTCTTCTAATCATTCCTTATGTTCCATCACAGTTCTTCGCTCTCAATCTGCAGGTTTACTAGTGGTCAATGGAATTTCTATGTAGAATGGGAGGCAGATCTTTTAGTTATCAGGCTCCTCTCCTGTGGAAACAACCAGTTTTAGCCCATGAGGCAGAAACACTGTTTCCTTTTAAGGGTAGGCTTAAAACCTTCCATTTTGATAAAGCTTATAGTTAAAATAGCTCAGATTATTCTGAGCTATCATGATAGATACGCTGATATAGGCTTATGCTGCTGGAGGACATAGGGACCCGTTTTCATCATTCTGTTTCATTCCATCTCTATTCTCTCATTCTACAGTATTCGTTAGTTCAATCTCTAACACTATGCTCTCTCTGCTTTCTCTCATCATAGTAGCTTCATCTGGTCTGTCCCTGTGTGGCTGTGACTCCATCGCAAAGAGAAATATCAGCTGTGGTGCTGCTGTCAGCACCTTTGTTTATGGATGTTGGAGCTTGGCCTGTTTTCTACAGTCCTGTTTTTCTGACTGTTACTAACTGGATGTGCTCTCTTTATCCTCTGACATGGGAGTTGTGTTTCCTGGACGGGGCCGCCTGTGGAGTTGGTTGAGAGTTGCCTTATGTATCTCTGCTTCTTTCTGCATCTCTGCTTTTGTCTCCTTAAACCCCAGTCGGCCTCAGCAGATGGCCGCTCACACTGAGCCTGGTTCTGCTGGAGGTTTTTTTCTGTTTTCCTCTCCTCTGTTGTTACGAGCATGCTTGGTGTGAGGGACTGTTTTTGAGTCAATGCAATCATTTGATTTTAGTTATAAAACTTTGAACCAATCTGACTGTATGATCTGATTAACTTGTCTCTGTAAAGTGCCTTGAGATGATATGTGTTGTGAATTGGTGCTATATAACTAAACTGAATTGAATTTAATTGGAATGTAAACATTTATTTAAAGAACACAGGTAAGCTCTATCTGCAAATTAGACCAAAAAAAAACTGCCAACATAAGAATATCTGGGATGCAGAGACAAATGTTTTAATGTAACATGTCCTGGATGACACCATCTGTAGTTTATGAGCACTGCCAACACACCTCCCTTTCATTTTAGAGCCTTCTATAAATCTATCTGCTCGTATTGCCTAGCAGAGAGATATGGAGTAGTAGATATGATCCTGCCGCCACGTTTCAATAAACCACATAATGCATTTTTTTTTTTTTTTTGCACATAATGCATTTTTGATATTTCGGAAGAATCTTAGCTGATGGCTGTACACAAGCATAACCCTGCACTGATACCATTACCCCTGGAGATGATGACAGAACTGTTGAATTGCTCTAATTGACTATAATAGGTTGCAGAATTAGTAGCAGAGAATGGCTGGGTACAATGTAAATTGGGGGGTTACCGTGAATGTATATGTGGATTTTGATATTCAAAAAGTAGGTACTGCTCAATTTTTTTTCTATAGGCTTCCTCTCTTGATGTGCAGCAGACAGTCAAAAACAGGTAGGTGTGATGAGACTAAACATTTGGTAAATGTTAGGGTTTCATTTTGACTCAAGTATTATTCACATATCTAATAAATTATGTGGTATAGTTCTTTTTAAGGATTTAAAAATTGCCTTCCATTTCTATTGGCCATGATGGTTTAAACCAGGCATTCAAGATGCAGCCATGCCTCAGTTTGTAGAAGTTCTCAGTGCATTTAATGTATAAGATGGAACAGAGAAACCCGCAAATTTGGTCTGGAGTGAAGTTGGTCATATCTTGTTGCTACTTGTGCTATTGTTCACACACAAAGTCAGAACAGTTGTTTATATGGGCAGTATTACCCAAAACGTTTCTGATTTTCCTGCAATAGCTGCATTTACTGACAACCATGTTTATCTGTCACTGGCACATTTGAAAATGGTGGTTTTGATCCTTGCTGAAGGATTTCATTGCCTTCCTTTCTTTGAATGAAGTCAGAAGTAGAAGGTGTAGCACTTGAAAAGCTGCAGCAACTTTCATGCAAAGTGTCTCTGCTTGAGTTGCAAAGTTGCAGCTCTTGGTGGCTTACTTGGTGGTAGATTTACAAATAGCACATTGTGTGGAGAGATAGCAAAGTTATATGCAAAACAACCCCAGACTATATTATTAGATTCATTAAAGCGCATTGATTCTGACCATTTAGGCTGGAGCTTGCCTCATCTTCCACTTTGATCATTACAAAACATGGATTACACTTTTTTATAATAAATAAGGAGCTTAAAAAAATGAACCTTTATTGTTTTAATTATTTCACCTTCTAATGTTTAGATAGCTGGATTATATGATAAAATGTAAATCTTTTTATGACTGAGGTCAGAAGAAGTGCCTAAAGTTTCTGCAGGCCCCAGATAACTGAAAATCAAGGGTTTTACATTGTTAAGCTCAAATGGTTTCAGAAGCAATTTCTTCCACAGCTAAAATAAATCAAGAATAGAGGCAGATTGATCAGGTCTGAAATGCAACATCATACCACCAGTGTAAATTTATGGCAGAATTATATTTTTCTAGTGGAACCATGATCAACACTTACACTTTGTCTTGTTTAGTTGTGATTAAATAAAAAAAATAGATTTTTTTTTTTTTTTTTTTTTTTTACGTCTCACAGTCATTTTTGTGTTGTTTACAAAATTAAGAATGCATGCTTTTTATAAGGGGACCGTGTTTGACCAACAATTACAAAAGGTCCAAAATGGGCATTGCCCTCTTTGTCTGGTACTGGGCCTATTAGGGTAAAACCATTTATCAGTACACTACAAATTTGACCACTTTAATAATATTTGTCAACTGATCACCCAACAACTCTCCTAAATCTTCAGATCAGAAAGTTCAGGAAGAGTGGGCAAGATTGTGACACAAATATTAGTGAATAGTATTTCAAATCCTCCTTCTCACATATAAAGCCTTAAATGGCCAAGCTCCATCTGATATCAGAGATCTGATTGTTCCTTATGTTACTAACAGAGCACTTTGCTCTCAATCTACAGGTTTAC